GTCCCGGGGCTAGCGATTTTTTTCAGTCCGGCTACCAAAATCTATCTCTGCCCTGCCCGTCGGGCTATTGTAGGAAGGAAAAATATATGTCAATGCTTTTGCATTCTTTCGGAAATGTAGCTGGGTAATTATGTCATTGGCATCGGTGAGCCACTGTCAATATGTGACATATTGCAATCGCGTTTGAATTTGCACTTGTTTTTTTGCTTTCACTTTGCAATCGTGCAAACTGTGTATAGAGAGCGACAGCACTGATCTGTGAGTGATGATAATTTGTGCACCAATTCCTCTGACATCGTCTTATTAATTGTTAGCTTACTATGCAAACATGACAAGTGAAATCTCACGCAGCAAGCTTAAACATGTGAGAGGTTGATCGCGCAGAGAATCGCTGAGCTTATGTGAGTGCGTGTGTAAAAGCAGCAGGATATATATTTGACTACGATGACCTGGATGACTGAGAACCTTCACAGACAGATATATATTTTAGTTCTGCTGAGCCAAATAAGACAGGTCAGGGTGAAGAAGTGACAGCCAAAGAAAAGCTTACCACAAAACGGAGAAGTTATGACAAATGAGACTATAAGGCAAAAAGAAAGTGCAGCTTTATGGTTTCATGGACAAAAGAATTTCTGTGGCTGCAATATGACGAGCTAAATAACCAGGCCTGCACATAAGTGGTCCGCAGGTGCGCATTCGCTGTCAAAATAAAAAACACGCACAAGGGTTAGGGTTAAATTTAAAAACTCTACTTTTGAGTTAAAATATATATTTATAATTTTAATAAATGACAAATTAAAAAGGCATGAACATTTTTTTTTGTATCGAAAAAATATCAAACCGTGACACCAAAGTATCGAACCGAACCGTGAATTTTGTGTATCGTTGCACCCCTAGTTTTTACGTGTTTTGGAGTTTGTACGTGTTTTGGAGTTTGTACGAGTTTTTACGTGTTTTGGAGTTTTCATGTGTTTTTACGTGTTTTGGAGTTTGTACGTGCTTCAGGGTTTGTACGTGCTTCAGAGTTCGTACGTGATTTGAAGTTTGTATGTGCTTTGTCTGTTGGGGCCACCGTAAATATACTTTTATTTATTCACTCCACATAAAATGTAATAAATAAATCATATAATACAAAAATTAACTATTCACATTTCAACTTTTAACTATTTAAATTTTCAGCTTTTTCCTTTTTGCTCTTTCTCTGTCTCTCCCTCCTGCTCTGTTCCTGTGCTACTGAGTGTAACTACCGCCCCTCCCTCCTCTTCCCAGCGTAAAGCACAAGGCTGCATGCTGAGTGAAGCGGAAAAAAAGTGCGAGAGAGAGAGGGTGAGAGAAAAAAAAAAAAACCCACGGCTCGCGATAAGGAGCCGGCTCGCGTCGTTCACGTCAAAGATCCGGCTCTAAGAGCCATTTCGTTCATACGGAGCCCCGCAGGGGACATGGGAGAAAAAAAAAATTAAGACGGACTTTTGCGAGATCTCGCAAAAGTTTTAGCCGCATTCTTTGGCCTTCGACCTTCCGTTAGCTCGAAGCTAACGGCAGGTCGAGACCTACTACAGCCAGGAGGAACACCGCTTTCCCGGCACATCGTGCCTCGACCTCCCGGTCGGCTTCGAGCTGGCGTCCGAAGAATGCGGCTAAAACTTTTGCGAGATCTCGAGTTTGTTTTGCGAAGTCTCGCAAAACTTTTCTTTTTACATAAAAAAGAAAAAAAATGTTTGATGATCTGAAATGTTTAAGTGTGACAAACATACAAATAAATAGGAAAACGCTTTTTCACACCATTGTCATATAAAAGACTTCCTTCCTTCATTCTGTTCATTGACCCCATTGTTGACCACTAAAATTTTGTATACTATGTAGTATATACCTTATTTACTTTTTGTTTTGTTTTGTTTTTTTGCACTACATTAAACAACATCAAAATAGCGTTGTCAAAAATGACAATATCGTTGGAATTTTTGTTATTTGTGTTTTGTAATCTTTATAAAAACCTAGAAAAAAAACCCCTCTTAATCTTTGGTATATGGCGAGGCGCTGTGGACATCCAAGTTTGTGATTGTGTAGATTTTTCAAATCAATACCATGGTTGCATCTACTGAAAATCTCTGTGAAGCTTAAATCTCAGTGACCTTGACTTCAAGGTCAGAGGTCAACTTTTCTGAAAATCGTAGGAGTTTCACATTTATAACACAGGTATGTCTACTAGGAGGCTGAAGGGTAGCACTATATATTTATAAACAATCAAAAACAACAATTTCCAATTTGTATGGAATTTATTTCTGTAAACATGGTGTTTTAGGTCGGATTAAAGGACTGATGTGATGGTAAGGTGTCCGCTGCTCTGCTTTGAATATTGGTAGGCTTTTTTTTTTTTTTAATTTTCACAAGAATTGCTACTTCCCCTAGAGTTTTGGCCACCCTAGCAATCAGAAGATTCCCTATGAGCAAGCATTTAGCGACAGTGGGAAGGAAAAACTCCCTTTAAAAAGGAAGAAACCTTCGACAGAACCACGCTCAGGAAGGGACAGTCATCTGCCGCGACTGGTTGGGGTGGGGGGAGTGAAAATTAAAAAAAAAAAAAAAGCCAAAGTGATAATTATTGGAGCAGCTTAATTAATATTTCCAGTGTAATTTGCTGTTAATATCCTTTTCCAACCCCAGTTTGTGTTTTTATCACTTTTGTCCAGGGTGGAAGATGCCATGCTGGAGATTGACTCTGTATGGTTTTTCAATGTTGATACTTGGGAACCTGTTGGAGAGGCCAGGGTTGAAAAAGGGATGCCGTAGAACCTGAGAGGGTGTTATCCGCTGGTGTGCATCCAAGGCCAACATCTCTTTAATTAGGCTGACAAATAAGCGTTGGCCATCTTCTGGTCCTCGTCTAAACATCATTATTTGTTCGAGGTCATCCAGACGTGTCAGTTTTATGTATCTTGTCTCCAAAGATTCATATCCTGTCTCGTATTTAAATTGTTGGTCAGTCTTAAATGTCCAGCGTTGTTGGTTGTAGTAGTAGTTGTCTTTTGTGAAATAGTCTTCAGTGTACACGCCAGGATCGAGAACATGATCTGGTGGCAGACCCTGAGTCTCTATGATGAATTTCAAAACATCATAATATTTTTTTCCAGGGTAGAGTGGCACCCCTGTAACAAGCTCAACAGCCACCAGCCCCAGAGACCACATGTCACATGCTTCGTTATAAGGAAGGCCAAGCATAACCTCAGGTGCACTATAACCAACCGTCCCCACACGGTCACCAGGCATCACTGCAGACGCAGGACATGCGAGGCCAAAGTCTATAAGTCTGACTTTGACTGGAGACTCATAGCGATTTACAACCATGATGTTTCCAGGTTTGAGGTTAGCGTGCACTATTCCCAAAGAACCCAGGTGGGACAGAGCATTTGTGAGCTGACCTAAAATTGGCCTGACTTCGCTTATGGGGAGACCCTGGTTTTTCCGGTCCCCTATATAGTCCCACAGGCATTGATCAAGGAGTTCGAACTTTAAGCAAACCCGCTCTCCGTCGTGGAAAAAGCCGTTCCATTTAACAATGTTGGCGGCATCTGGATCCAACCTTCGCAGCTGCTTCAGGATGAAAATTTCCATGTTTTGCCTGTTGCAGAATATCAGTGCGGTTCTTGTTCACCTTAATAGCCACAGCTTGGTTGGTCTTGGTATCATGGCATTTGGCTACAATACCAAAACCCCCTTCTCCGAGGAAAGCCTCTACCTTGTAGTGGTTTCCCAAAATACTCCCTTCAACTATTTCAAGCTCATCTCAGCGGAAGGATGGGCTGGCTGACGTGTGGACAAATACTTGCTGAGAAAATTCAACTGAGTTTTGAAAACTGCAGTTGATTTTCTCTGATCTCTTGCATTTCAAGTTTGAAGGGTGCTGAAAGACCACAGGGTTTTGTGGTCTTTCAGCACTCATGTCAATGTAAGGGGAACTCTTAGGGTTGAAAAAGGGATGCCGGAGAACCTCCGACGGTGTAATGCGCTGGTTTGCATCCAAGGCCAACATCTGTTTAATTAAGCTTACAAACAAACGTTGGCCATTTTCAGGTCCTCTTCTAAACATCATTACTTGTTAGAGGTCATCGAGACGCATCGGTTTTATGTATCTTGTCTCCAGGGACTCATATCCTGTCTCGTACTGAAATTGTTGGTCAGTCTTAAATGTCCAGCGCTGTTGGTTGCCGTTGTCTTTAATGAAATAGTCTTCAGTGTACACGCCAGAGTCTAGAACATGATCTGGTGGCTGACCCTGAGTCTCTATGATGAATTTCAAAACATCACAGTCTTCATTTCCAGGGTAGAGTGGCACCCCTGTACCAAGCTCCACAGCTACTAGCCCCAGAGACCACATGTCACTTGCTTCATTGTAAGGAAGGCCAAGCATAACTTCAGGTGCACTATAACCAATTGTCCCCACACGGTCACCAGGCATCACTGCAGACGCCGGACATGCAACAAGGCCAAAGTCTATAAGTTTGACTTTGATGGGAGACTCATGGCGGTTTACAACCATGATGTTTCCAGGTTTGAGGTCAGCGTGCACTATTCCCAAAGAACCCAGGTGGGACAGAGCATTTGTGAGCTGACCTAAAATTGGCCTGACTTCGCTTATAGGGAGACCCTGGTTTTTCCGGTCCCCTATATAGTCCCACAGGCATTGATCAAGGAGTTCGAACTTTAAGCAAACCCGCTCTCCGTCGTGGAAAAAGCCGTTCCATTTAACAATGTTGGCGGCATCTGGATCCAACCTTCGCAGCTGCTCCAGGATGAAAATTTCCAGTTTTGCCTGTTGCAGAATATCAGGGCGGCTCTTGTTGACTTTAATAGCCACAGCTTGGTTGGTCATGGTATCACGACATTTGGCTACAATACCAAAGCCCCCTTCTCCGAGGAAAGCCTCTACCTTGTAGTGGTTTCCCAAAACGCTCCCTTTAACTATTCCAAGCTCATTTGAGCGGAAGGATGGGTTAGCTGACATGGTGAAATGTGTCGGCTTGGTCAGTGAATTGCTAGGTAACGCGAAATTCTCTCAAAACTCTCCAAAAGGGTTTGCTTACTGTCAGGTCAAGGTCCGTTGAGCAGCAAAGTTTAACAGAGCAAAGCTCCTACTTAAGGGTTTTTTTTTCCTCAGCAAGATGATGACATCACAAAGGATCAAAGGCATTCTACTTTGGATCAAAGGCATTCTAGTTTTGATCAATGGCATTCTATTTTTTCCAGTTGAAACACTCAAAAAAAATAGTGTTTCAACAGTGCAGGCTGGCGCCCTGTGGGAGGCAGAGGTGATAGGGTAAGGATGCAGAGGATAATATCCAAGAAAAGATTTACTTATCTGTCAGCTCATCAGCGAGCAGCTGCAGAATCACAGGTTCAGCTTGGCAGAGGATGGACTCAAGGTGAAGAAACAAAATCAATAATGACTTAAGGCAAAGTTACAGTCTCAATGTTATTCTTTATTTTTTCTCAGTGTCTTCTTGAGGGACATTATGTGTATATGTGTACGTGATATTAAAATGACATTAACGCCATAACGTGGCAAATCTCCGTTAACGAGTTACCGCAGATCGCCCGTGCGTGGGGCTGCACGGCGTCAACACGTTAACAAGCTAACTGCGCTAACGCACTAGTTCCCACCAATTGAGCATTGCGTGGCACATCCGACATACTGTTTTACTTTTGTCCATGACACGCTTACCATCAGGGTCATACTTCACATGAAAACCAAAATAGTTCCAAACACCAGATCTGAATGAGGGTGGGGGAGGTTCATTTTCAGGTAGCGTTGAGGCAGTTGCCATGTTGCAATGAGCTTAGCTTCTGTCTTGCTAGCTTGCACTGCGCTCAGTGGATCTGCACTCGACAGTGCAGCCTAGGTGGAGTAGTCAAATGCAGATCCACTGAGCACTCAACACAGACAGCATCGTCAGAAGAAAAGTTGATAAAATAAATAAAAAAATTTGTATTGTTCGATACATATGTGTACCGAACCAAAAGCACTGTATCGAACGGTTCAATATCGATACGAGTATTGTTGCACTCCTAATATATATATAACATGACCAGGCCCACGTCATATCAAATTCAGCTCTATGTGGCTCTAAAGAAGTCACAACTTTAACAAAAACACACGTTGTGCGTGTATAGCATCTGTATGTGTGTCAAAGAAGTACCTGTGTTTACACTGTGCCACTAACGTGTGAAATAACTACCACCAAATGGTGTATTACACATGTCTGTCTAGACACATAAATACATAGAGCACATACAGAGTAAACAGGGTTAACATTTGCAACATGGAGGCAAAACAGTGTAGCCGTCAGTTACATTTTTCGTTATTTGTTCCTGTAAACTTCAATGATTGTGCCCATATATATATATATATTTTTTTTTTTGCCTGTGTTTCCTATTAGGAGAAATGTGTCCTAATATTTATTTATTACTCTTCTCTTGGCACTTGGGTGTCAAACTTTTGTGTCTCCTCACTGCAGGGACAGAATGAGCTGCTGGTCATGATAGCATTAGTGTGTTATGCTTTTTTAGTTTTTTTTTAAACTAGCTTGCTTATATATTTACAAGTAAAAATAAAAGTAAAGCCAGTAAACACTTTTTTACTTTGCCTCAATTCTGTTCTCAGCATTGGATCAGTTTTTTACTGTATCTTTACAGTATGCAACCAACAAAGCTCACACTGAAAAACACATGACGAAACCCCCAAATCAAACGAGATGACAGCGTATTTTCATTTTTTTTGTTTTAAATGTATATTTGAGTTATGTACCTTTGTTTCTGTTGTTTTAATTGTTTCATTATAACTAACTCAAGGTCATAAGCAGCCTAAGCTGTGCATTGAAACACTATGCGTGCACTATGAAACATGGCACGCTCCTTAACCTCACACCCAGGTGTTCCCCCTTTCTGCTCCAGGTCAAACTTGGCACTGGGCGGTCAACACATTTTCTTGTCTTTCCTGAGTCTATCCCGGTACACAGCGATACTCATCATGTTACGCCGCCTCCTTCATACTTCTGTTTATGTCTTCCACCTTCATAACATCGGTGCCCTTCTTGTAAGGACGTTCTCACTCTGTGAGACACATGCAAAGCTGGGACATTTGGATAAAGGCATGTCCAGGTACTGTGCTTCTTTTCTTTACATAGTCTAAGTCAGCCTTGAGCTTGTATTTTGTGATTACTAGTCTATTTATATATGTAACAGAAATCATCATGCATAGAAGTAACATGCTTTGCAGCTTGAGGTTATTTTTAGCAAAGTAAGGGGATTAAAATCAGGCCAGGTTTGTCAGGTTGGATTAACATTTGGGAGACTTCTATGCTGGAGTTATTAGAGAAAAAATTTGATCTATGCTAGTACTGACACTGATAGATGTGCAGAATTAAAAACAGCCTTGACATATTCATGAATACAGTACAGTAACTAAAGAAAGTGTAGTAGCCACTCAGAAAAAAGTAGACATTATGCACAGAACTGTGCTCTGAGCATCTTAGTGAAATATGCACTATACTGATTATATATTAATATTGTGGGGTATGAGTGTTTCTTTTGTTTATGTTCTGTTTTTAAGGCAGGTTAAAGGATGGTTTCAGTTGCACAAAGCAGCAGAAGATGTGTGCTGTTGCTTCTCTTTCGTACCCGGTCAATCTTTCCCATCTCTTTCTTCACATTAGCGTTAGCAGCCCTGACGGCGCCAAAAACCGTGGCACTTCCTGCTGCTGACATTAACAAATCAATCTTAATCCTGCCTGCTACCATTTCCACTCTTTCAGTGGAAAAATCTTACAGCGTATCACAGTCCTACTCAACCTTCTCTTCTCCTGCACGTACCCCACAAACTTTGTCAAAACTCCCAATCAAGACTGACTCAAATGCCAAGTCCTCTACCTCTGAAACATCAGTTCAACTCATCAACCCAGCACCCCACAGAGATGTTGCAAACTCACCTATAACTTCTAAAAATATCCATCCGTTTGGCAAAGAGGTCTCTCCTAGTCCTTATTCAGGCCATTGTCGCCATACATTTTTCTATCCTGTTCAACCCCTAAAACAAATTTCATGGTTGCCATCTAACCCCTGCAAACATCTGAATTTGTCCCACAAAGCTACAGCACCTTTTTCGCACAAACACTCTCAATCACCTCACACCAAGAGCTGCCTGTATCCTCTTTCTACTGGAAAAGTTCATCTTCAACTTGCGAAAACTTCTAAAACTCAATCTCCTTTGCCACCAGCCTCACTGTCTCCCCTTTCCAACTCAACCTCACCTCAAAGTGCTTTAAAAAAGCGTCTGGCCCCTCTTTCAGTGTCACCCCTTTCCGCAGCTTTAACCTTCAAAACAACACTGCCTGCCCTTTCTAAAACATCACCCCTCCTTCCCTACAACACCACTTCATCTCCTCCGGAAGCAACAACCCCTCGCCTTGCACCTGCCCATCTTCCCCACACCGTAGGCCCGCTGTTTGAACACCAGCCATTCATTGTTACTTGGAATATCCCTGATCTAGTGTGTAAAAGGTATAACATCTCACTGGACACCTCAGCCTTTAAAGGAGTGGCCACACCTGCCAAGGTAAGAGTGAAAAGATGATGGATAATCAGCAGCTGTTGTGTTTTTATACAACCTTTAGGAGGTTATAAAACTGTCTTAAAAGGCAAACTTATTTATGAGTAGTGGAGATAAGTTTATTGGGTCTTGTTCCTGCTGCAGGTTCCAGGGCAGTTTCTGTCTCTGTTCTACACAGATCGACTGGGTCTTTATCCACACATAGACCTCAAAAGTAGGAAAGAATTCTACGGCGGGATCCCTCAGAGAGCTAACCTGAAAGCCAGCTTGGAAAAGGCCAGAGCAGATATTAACTACTACATCCCATCCATGTAAGTAGGCCAGAGTATACTGTCTTTGCCCCTAGTGACACATTAAATGCTGATATTGACCTCCATCACCCTCCTCATTCCTTCCAGGACAAACCGAGGCCTGGCTGTGATAGACTGGGAGGAATGGCGCCCCCTATGGGACAGAAATTGGGGAACCAAAAGAATCTACCAGACTTTGTCAGTGGCCCATGTAATGCAGGCTAATCTCTCCCTCTCAGTACAGCAGGCCACAGTAAAAGCCAAACAGCAGTTTCAGGTCAGAGCGCTTTGCTTGAGGCTTAATGATAAATTATATACAATACAGAGCTCAGAGCACCTATTAATTATTCATGCCATCATTCCTTCACTCCTGGCTTCCTTCCTCTTAGGAGGCAGCAAGGAATCTTATGTCAGGGATGTTGGCCTTGGGCAGAGCTATGAGACCCAACTATCTTTGGGGCTTCTACTTGTTCCCCAACTGCTATAATTATGGCTGGAAGGACCAGCACTACACAGGCCAGTGCTCCAAGGAGGTGAGGAGGCAAAATGATGAGCTGCTCTGGCTATGGGAGTCAAGCACAGCCCTTTACCCCTCTGTTTACTTGCAGGTTGGTGATTCTCCTATATGGATGACATACTTCTAATATTATTATTTTAAGTATTTATTTATTTAGTATTTATTTATTTATTGTCATTGTCAAGAACAATGAAATTGCGTTTGGGGCTTCCATACAACCCCCAAAAAAAGAAGAAAATAATAAATACCCCTTAAAACCCAAGTGTACATATTTAACCCAGTGTGACTCCAATGCAATAAGACAATCCTTAGCAATAATGTTCGTAGAAATTCAGACAAAGACCTGAGAAACATGACAAAATACAACAATGCAACCCATTCAATATTATTGTACTGTGAGATATGATATCAGATATGATAGTTATCTATTTAAGAAAGAGGGGGGGGGGGGGCAGGAGGGGAAGAGAATAAAGATATGATGCACCAATGCAGACCAGTTCATTGCTATTAAGAAGTTGGATATGGTTATTGTCCGTGAGAGGGGGGCAGAGAGTTCAGGAGCCTCACAGCCTGTGGATACAGGCTGTTGGCCAGTCTGGATGTTCTGGCCTGTATAGACCTGTACCTTCTCCCTGAGGGCAGCAGATGGAAAAGGTGGCGCGCAGGGTTAAGCGGTAATTTTCCCTGAATCTGTTTCAGACCTCTCTAGCAGACAATCCAAAAGCCGCTCTGATGGTGAGAAACCGCGTCCAGGAGGCTTTGAGGGTGTCTGCCCTTCCTGGATGGAGTGCTACTGCACCCGTGTTCGTTTACATGCGTCCTGTTTTTGTTGATGACAACAAACGCTTCCTCAGCCAGGTAACAAAGACTATTTAAATGTGGATTTGTTTAACACTTTATTCATAGGCACATTACGTAATAGTCTGCAGCATGACTTTCTGACCTGGTTGGGATGTTCTTGGGAGGCATTTGCAAATGACAAGCACTAAGCATACAAATTAAATGACTTTGCAGCTTAAACAGATTGCATCTTTTCCAGTAACTCATTAGAGAGTAAATGCAAGCACACTTGACTAGATTACATCTTACATCTTAGGTTACTTTATACATCCCTAGAGTGGAGTGTTTCCAGCCAGGAGGTCCAGTTTTAAGGGGAGTTCAGTTTCTTTGGTGTAACAACATCCTTCTCAGGTGGTAACCACCACACGATGTTGTAATCCTTATCTTCTGTTCTCATTTGTGTGAGCATGCTGCAAAAAACCTCAACTCAAAACCATGATGCAATTCTTTGCAAACCTTTTTAGTTTAAAAAGTGCAGAGAAAGCAAAAATTCTCCAGCATTTTTCACCAACACTGGGGCGCTCAACAGTTTGGGCATCATTTGCCATATTTTTAATTTCATAATGTCCGAAATGCTTTCAATGATGGCAGGTATAGGCCAGTTTAGCACCTGGACTGCTTTGCTAACAATCAAGTACTATATAGAACACTAATTTGATAATGGTAATTTTCATACCAGTAAAATCTTTTTTAGGGAGGTTTAAGGACATCTCTGTAAACGGTAAACAGTAAAATTCAATGTGTTTTAAAACCTCTTTAAAAACTGAAAATTGCTTAACTTTGAAACAGCTCAACATTCATCAAATCTAATCTTACATTTTTAAATATTGGCTCAGTCTTTTTACATGTGTAACGAACAATTAGTGAAGATGATTAACTATTTGCGTCCAGGGGGATCTGATCAGCACCGTCGGGGAGAGTGTGGCAGTGGGGGCATCTGGCGCTGTGCTATGGGGAGCCAGCGGTGACTATGATGACCAGGTAACATCACACCACAGGCCTCCATTGGACTGCTGAAAGATATAACAATGTATTGATGTCAGTCAGACGGAACAAGACAAAGACTTTAATTAGACGATACAGGAAGCGGTTTATCTCTTCAGCAACTGACAATATCTGCTGAGTGATTGTGGCGGCTGGTTTAGCAACCACAATAGTTAATCCACAACAGCAAAGCCTAAATTAAGCAATGATGGTACATTTAACTGGATGTTTAAATTGCTCTGACAGAGACCTCAGCATGTAATTAATATTCTTGTAGTTGCATATCTTAATTGCCTTTTATTACATATTACATGCTGTTAAATAACTTTATTACACGTCCTTAGTGTCTGCTATTCAGTGCATTAGGCTTTTTATAGCTGCAAGATATTTTTTGTTAATTCTGCCTGTTCTGCAGTTAATGAACTTCTTACTCCACACATTACAAACCTATCAAAACAATACTCTCAGTCAGGAATAGCTGGTTTTCTAATATGTAAATATGCTAGTTTGTTTTCTGTTGATTATATCAAAAGGTAATACCACTGATACAGTTAGCAGCTGCTTAGCTTATCACAAATATTAGATTTGTAACATTACAGATCTATCAAAATAGTGCTCTCACACAGGAACAACTGTACAGTACATTTTATAATATGTATGCTAGTTCAGCCCGTTCTCACTCCCGAGGCGTAACATGCCGACGTTTTGTCGGCGATTTGAAGAAAAAGAGCGAACATGTGTAGATTGAGTCCATACGGTTGTCATATTTCCTCATTTTTCTGAAGTCGTCATTTAGGAACGTGGTGGGTAGTCGAAAACGTAATATGTTGACGATTTGGCACCTAGCGTAAAATGTTATGCTTTGGGAGTGAGAACGTGTTGGCTAGTTTGCTTGCTCTTGAATGTATAATGAGCCCTTAGTGCGCAGGGTGCCACCAGCCACCCGCACAGTGCAGAGATGGTCAGAGGAGAGCGAGGAGGCTCTTAAGGACTGTTTTGAGTCGACTGTGTGGGAGGTGATCTGTGACGACCATGGAGAGGACATCGACAGCCTTACTACATGCATTACTGACTATATTAATTTCTGTGTGGATAACACCGTACCTACCAGGACTGTACGGTGTTTCTCCAACAACAAACCTTGGATTACCCCAGAAATTAAAGCTGTCCTCAAGCAGAAGAGGAGGGCCTTCAAATCCAAAGACAAAGAGGAGTTGAAAAGGGTGCAGAGAGAGTTGAGGGGACTGATAAGGAATGGGAAGGACAGCTACAGGCAGAAGATGGAGAACCAGCTTCAGCAAAACAATGTTGGTGAAGTCTGGAGAGGCCTCAGAACCATCTCAGGCCACAAACAGCAGAACTCTCTGCCTGGGAGGGATGTGAGGTGGGCAAATGAACTGAATCATTTCTTCAACAGATTTGATTCAACCATGAGACAGTCTACAACATCGGCTGCAGACTCACCCACCCCCACTGCTGCTGTTCCACCTCTGACACCTCAGACACTTCACACCTCCTCTATTCACCCTGCTCACTCCTCCCACCCCAACAACAGCATCCAATACACACTCAACACAAGGCTCCAGCCTGTCTCTCTCAACCACCCAGGTTAGGAGGGAACTGAGGAGGATTAATGGCAAGAAGGCAGCGGGCCCAGATGGCATCAGCTCGAGGGTCGTCAGGTCCTGCGCGGACCAACTGTGTGGGGTGTTGGAGCACCTCTTCAACCTGAGCCTGAGGTTGGGAAGAGTCCCACAGCTCTGGAAAACCTCCTGTGTTGTACCAGTGCCAAAGACTTCACGCCCCAAGGACCTCAACAGCTACAGGCCGGTGGCTCTGACATCCCACCTGATGAAGACCCTGGAGCGGTTGGTCCTGGCTCAGCTTCGGCGCCTAACAAGCTCATCACTGGACCCACTTCAGTTTGCCTACCAGCCTGGCATTGGCGCGGATGATGCCGTCATTCACCTCCTACATCGTTCCCTCGCTCACCTGGAGACCGCTGGAAGCACTGTGAGAATCATGTTCTTTGATTTCTCCAGTGCCTTCAACACTATTCTTCCCTCGGTTCTGAAGGACAAGCTGGAGAACTCTGGAGTGGACCATCACCTCACTACCTGGATTTTGGACTACCTCACCGACCGACCACAGTATGTGAGGACTCAGGGCTGTGTGTCGGACAGGGTCGTCTGCAGTACGGGGGCCCCACAGGGAACGGTTCTGGCTCCGTTCCTCTTCACCATCTACACTGCAGACTTCTCCCACAATTCCACCCAGTGCTTCCTGCAGAAGTTCTCTGATGACTCTGCAATAGTCGGCCTCATCACTGATGGGGACGACAAGGAGTACAGAGGACTGACTCAAGACTTTGTGGACTGGTGCCAGCTGAACTACCTCCAGATCAACGCCAGTAAAACCAAGGAGCTGGTGGTAGACTTCCGCAGGCACAAGCATTCTCCACTGCAACCACTGAACATCCAGGGTATGGACATTGAGGCTGTGGACAGCTACAGGTACCTTGGTGTTCATCTGAACAACAGACTGGACTGGACTCATAACTCAGACGCCCTCTACAGGAAAGGGCAGAGCAGGCTGTACCTGCTGCGGAGACTCAGGTCGTTTGGGGTGGAGGGCCCACTCCTGAAGACCTTCTATGACTCTGTGGTGGCTTCTGCTATCTTTTATGGTGTGGTCTGCTGGGGCGGCAGCATCTCTGCTGGGGACAGGAAGAGACTGAACAGGGTGATCCGAAGGGCCAGCTCTGTTCTAGGATGCCCTCTGGACCCAGTGGAGGTGGTGAGTGACAGGAGAATGGCGGCTAAGCTGTCATCCCTGTTGGACAACGTCTCCCACCCCATGCAGCAGACTGTGACAGCACTGAGCAGCTCCTTCAGTGGGAGACTGCGGCACCCACGGTGTGGGACGGAGAGATTTCGCAGGTCTTTCCTCCCCACTGCTGTCAGACTCCACAACAAAGACTTTAACTGAACAAACACACACATCCACACATGTGCAATAACACTAAGTGCAATAATCTTTTCTGGCATCGTTGTATTTTTACTCAGTTGTATATAGCATTCGTATTCTATTTTTATCTTATTGTATATTTTTATTCTATTTTATTCTACTGTATATAGTATATTATTTTATTCTATTCTGTACAGCTGTGTACTGTATTTATTCTTATTGTATTCTAATTTTTGCGTCATAACTTTTGCACTGTCCACTTCCTGCTGTGACAAAACAAATTTCCCACGTGTGGGACTAATAAAGGTTATCTTATCTTATCTTATCTTATCTTATAAAACAGTGACACTGCTGCTACAGTTAGCAGCTGCTTAGCTTAATTCTCTGCAGAAACAAACTTGCCAGATCTAGCCTTGTGAAATTTTTGCATTAAGTCAACATAAAGTAAGAAAATCAATAACATCCTATGCCTCATTAGAATTAATCTGTCCATGTTATTGAACCACTCCAATAAACGTCAACCGATATAGTGTCTTCAGTCTGGTCTTAACAAAACTGACCTAACACCACCGCCACCGTAGCCCACTAATGTCATTTAGTAATCATTAAGACTAGCTAAGCAAAGCTAAGCTAGCTTTAGTCTTGTTTTTAAGGAATAGGTATGCAAGTGGTATTGATCAGTTTTTTTTTTCACGTGGACATGTTAATACAATTCACGGTCACTGAATTATTGTGATGCTGTCCTCTGTTTTAGGCGACACAATTGTGGTCAGAAGTTTAAGGTACATGCACACATCACGGGCATGAATATCATTGTAATTTTGAACTTTTAATGGTCTCTCTGAACTGTTCTTTTTCCACGGTGGAAAGGGAGAACAGCATACATGTTCAGTGACGTTAAAAAACAAGAATTTGCGTACACAAGTTTACATTTATTTTGCCTAAAAGCTGGACCAGGAAACCATCTAATTTAAATAAATTCTACCAATAATGCCAAGAAGAGTGGTCAAATAACCAGCAAGAATTATACCAGAAGCTTGTTGATCGCTACTGAAAGGATCTGGTTGAGGTGCAACTTGCTAAGGAATATTTTACCAAATATTACTGGGGATGTATCTATTGTAGTCTGGAAAAAGAACAGTTGAAAGAAGTCATAAAAAGCCTGAACTTACCGTGACATTCATGCCCACGATGAGTGCATGTAAATTTGTGTCCACAACTATAGTGATCTTATTTATTCCTCTCTCTATTTCTCCTCTCCAGCTTTCTTGTGAAGCCCTCTCCTTCTACCTCACCTCCACCCTGAATCCTTACATCACCAATGTCACGACAGCTGCCCAGCTGTGCAGCGACTTCCTGTGCCGAGGAAATGGCCGCTGTGTCAGAAAAAACTACAAGTCCAGCCATTACCTCCACCTAAACCCTGAAAGTTTCAGGGTTGTGAATACTCAGAAACGCTACTTTGTTCTAGGAAGTCCAAGCTTGGCAGACCTGAAGTCTTTAAGCAGGAGATTTAACTGTCAGTGCTACAAAGGACTGAAATGCACTCCTAGGACATACAAAGAGCTTGCCAAGGCCCTGATGTTCAGTGTTAAGCGAGGGCAGTACCAGAACTCCCCCACTCTGAGAAAAGTTGGATTAGATGACACCGAGCAGGCCAGCACCGCTAAAGATAAAGTTAATAAGAACTTTAATGCAGCTGACAATTAAATTTGGTGGTTACAAACTAAATTGTTAGTCTGGTCTAGAACCCAGAATCAAACTTCTACTCACATAGAAGATGAGCTTATAGTCAACGATTAACTCAATATATATATATATATATATATATATATATATATATATATATATATATATATATATATACTGCTACCTTTTGCTGTGTCAGTAAAAAACGACTCAGTAAGCATAGGGCTACTTCATGTACTATGAATAAAACCACTGACAGAATCTATAAACTACAAGCACAATACCAAATCACAGATGTGTCACCTGTGCCTGACAATATTACAGCCAGTTGGTATTTGAATATGATTTGACTGCATATGCAAATGGAAAAAAAAGAAAAACTGCAGCAGTTTTTTATTTCTTTCTCTGCAATGACAAAGTACTGAATGAATGAAAACATTTTTCATTTTAAATTCTCAGTAATTTATTTAATTTATCTCGGCTCTTTTAAAAATATGTCTGTGTATGCAAATGTATAGCGAATATAATTTGTGTGAGAAAAATAAACATGAATCACCAGACGCACTGACCTTTATTCCAGTTTAGATCGTTGTCAGTGGCTTTTGATTGCTTGAGAGAAAAGGTCTGACAAGCAGTGGATTATTTAAGTCTATAAATGACAAATGAGGAAAGTGCTGGAAACATTCCTCAGAGAAAGTTGCCTGTACTTCTATGACAGCATTACACATAGCACCACAGAGTTGCTGTAGATTTATCATTCGATCGCATTCCAGAGGTGCTGTTGGATTGAAATACGGTGGCTGTGAAAGCCATTTCAGTTCAACAGAGCACCTGTCATGTTCAAGAAAACATTTTGAGATGATTTGAGCTTTGCGAAATAGCATGTTGTCCGGCTGGAAGAAGCCATCAAAAGATTGGTGGTCATAAAGGGTCTTTCTCGGATCAAAAAAGCAGCAAGTACTTGGATCAGGATGCTTTTATATTGATTATGCCAGATTCTGAACTTACAATCAAATGTTGAAGCAGAATTCGAAGCTCATCAGAACAAGTAATGTTTTTCCAACCTTCTACTGTCTAATTTTGGCGAGTCCATGCAAAATGTAGCCTCAATTTCCTGTTCTTAGCTGAGGAGCGGTACAAAATGTGGTCAATCAAGTGGTTATTTGAATTATTGTTGCCTTCCTATGAGCTCAAACCAGCCTTGCCATTTCCTCTGACCTCTGACATCAACAAGTCATTTTCACCCAGAGAATTGCCGCTAACGGGTACCAACAAACAACTTACATTCAAAGAGTCACTTAAATCATCTTTCTTCCCCATTCTAACGGTCAGTTTAAACTCTCTGTCACCATGTCTACTTGTCTGAATGTACTGAGCTGCTGCCATGTGATTGTCGGATTAGACATTTGGATTAATGAGGACATAAACAGATATGTAATGTGGCGACTATTAGAGAAATATCAATTAATGGAATTTCCCGCTGGTCTAGTAAAGTTTTAAGGACCATATTATAATGTTTTATTATTCAGGTGTTGGAAAGGAAGTTGCCATAATAATCAAGCCAACTGTTCAGTTTCACTTCCTAGTATTAGATACCAAAAGATATGTTGAAAATGCATGTTCATTTTTATAAACAGCAGTCACAGATTACTTCTGATTGAACGTGTTAATGAGGCTTGGTGTATGTTGCTCCCATTGTGATTTACAGTAAATATTGTAGGTCACTGGTGTATTCACTCAGAGTCCTCTGGGTGGTGTGTGTGATGTCTAAATGTTCGTATTTGCTTATGTCACAATGATCTCCATGGTGTCGCGGGGAGAAAGAGAGGGAGTGAGAAAGTGAACACAACTATACAAAAAACCCCAGCATCACATAACTAAAATTTTAAATGAATTACATTGCTTTTTTGCAATTTTCTCTGTCTTATTTGATTTATATCAGTGCTAACTCAACCAGAAAGCAGTAATTACAGATAACACACATATTATCAGGTTGTGCCAGGAACTATTATCTTATGCACTAAAGAAAATGATTTGCAGCCATAAAACCAAGATTGTCTTGATTCTGTTGCTTGTGTGCCTGGATCTGCTGAGATTTGTTCAAGCTTGTGGTATGGAAAACTACAAGTATTTCCTATAGTTACCAGTGTCTGGCAGACCTTTTTTGTTCCTAGCCTTTTAGCAGAATGCAAACACCAAGTCCGTAAATAAAAAGAAACCGCACCCTCCACAGGGCAAAACCTCTGTATAAGGGTTTGATTTACCCTTTCACTTTACGCCTGGACTGCTTTTAACTTTTAACCTTGACTCTTCAACAGGAAGTAAATATTTCCATAGATATGGTGTAATTGCGCCTCTGCTGAATAATGCAAATGTTAAAGAAATGAAGGAATACCAGCTGCGTCACAGGAAAATTGTATTTTTATTTAAAATTCTAAGTCATACAGTACATGCCATTGCAAGTTAGAGATATTTTTTTTTAGTTATTGTGCAATTTCTTTCAAACGTTCTTTTTTTTTTTTTATAGCTTTTTAAAAGTAGTTTGGTCATTTTTTTAAAATCTTCAAAAAGTGCACAGCCAAACACGAAAGTTAAGTATGATTAAAATACAGTTATTCTGTCATGGAAAAAAACTGTAAGTTGTACAAAGTTATTCATGTGGGACAGAGTGTAAATGTTTAAGAACACCAGTGTAGCTGCCAGGTTAAACAAGGAAATAAAATCAGTAGCCAAAGTATTAGGCTGAGTAGGGTTCAGTTCAGCTCTCAGTGCTAATCATATCAGTAGAATTTCAAAGGGCTTTAAAACTAAAAAAACAATTAATATGAATATTTGTTGATAAACAAAATAATAAAATAAAGCACCTGTGCAAAGTATGCTTCTAAATTTGTATAGACAAAAAATAATTTGTCACCTAAATAATCAATCAATCCCAGAGAAGATCATCGTGTTTCTAATTCTAAGTGCAAAGTGACTGATTCTAATATTTTAATGGTGTTCAAAAAGGTCACAGAGCAGAATCATTTCTTTGCAGTTCATTGAAGCATATTACTTCTAATGAGGCAGCATAGGAGGTTAATATCTAGAGAATATAGATGATACAGGTGATACATATAGGTGACTGGCTGCTACAGTATGTTGGTGAACCGGTATGGCCTATATTATATCAATATTATATTAACCCATATATCACTAAGTCACATATTTTGTATATCAATAAAAAAATCAATATTGACATTGGCCCCCAAAATCCATTTTCAGTCAGGCACTTCCTTTCGACCCACAATTGTAGCACTTGCAGATAAAAAGCTGAGTTTTTTTTGTGTCGCTTGGACTCAGTTTGCGCAGGAAGGCACTCGAGCAAATCAGTGTTTGGGTCATGAAAAAGAAACTGCAACATCATGTCTCCTCATAATCATTTAGCTACGGATTCCTTTGCTACATATACCACTGGGTTTATATCAACTCTAAGAATTGCCATGCATTGCTCTGTGATCATGTTAACAAGCTGAGTGGATGCAGTTTGTTTTGAAATGTTAAGGAGTCGAATAAAAAGGTGAAAAATTAACAGATGACTCTGTCTTAAAAATACTGACTTTGGAATATTAGTTGATACATGTGAGTTAATGAATAAAAGAAAGCTTTACTGGTATTTTAGCATGCAGATAGGACACTTAAAGCATGCTGATGTATAGGTGAATAACGTAAGCGATCAAATCCAAAACACATCTGCCATATGTGAAGAACGGGAAATCAGTCACTGCAATCCATACAAAACGGAATCTTCACACTTTCAAAGTCATGAGGACATGTAAAAGTTGTTCATGTTACAACTGTATTTTCCACTAAATGGGTAAAAACGGCAGTAATTGAATTTAAACAGTTAGGGTCCAAAGTTTTGAATTCCTTGCTATACCCTAAAATATCAGGCAGAGCAGAATAAAAGCACAGGTAACGAGGGTTAGGGTCGACTCGTAACTTCCAGAAGTTATTACCTCCACAGAAAATCTTGCTGAACACACCAATCTTCACCAGCCTGAAGAAAATGAAACGTATTAAAAAATCTGATAGTATTTTATAATACAGAGCGCAGCTAAGAGAGCAATAACTCTAGAATTAGAATTGGTATGCCAATGTATTTTATCTGAAATGACAATGTTATTATATTAATCTAGATATAATTAGTAGTAGACTCATTAGAATTAGGGGTAATAATTCAAGCTTTTACAGGGAAGAAGAAATAATTATACTGTATATAATTTTAGGTACTGCATGAATGATAGTGGTAAACCCACAAATGATAATTATTTACCTATAAGTACTTAGCAGTAGATAAACTAGAATTAGAGCTAAAAAGTCACGTTTTTACAGGAAAGAAGAAATAATTATAATTTTAAGTAGTCTATTATGTCCAGGTATTTTCTTTTTCTCTGAGTTTAACCATCCTGTACTGTAAATATGCTGTACTTTTTGCATTTTTTTCTGGATTATATTCAATTTTCCATTTATATTACCTATAAAAGTACCTTTCCCACTTAGAAGAAAAAACTAAAAGTTGCAAATACTGCAGGCCACACAGGTGGCCCATGTGATCTTTTAACAATAGAGTAATCGGGCTGGTGTTTACTTTTCCTTGGAGTCCAACCTAGAAACAAAATTTCAATCCTATCACACTAGTATCAATCCCACACCAATACTAGCTTCGGTATTATATCTAACAGTATTTGGATTGATCCGCCCACTTATACTCTGAGGCACACCAATGCAATTCACAATGTCAATATAAAAAGTAGAGCATAAATATAGAATAAAATTTGGATCTTTTTTTGTTCACTAAAATAGATGGAAATAATACACTACTTAAAATGATTGATTTCTATCTCATTTCCTGTAAAATACCCAGATGTTGTGCACTACTTAAATTACAAATGCAGTACTTAAGAACATTTTTCTGCTTTCCTGTAAAAAAAAAAAGAGTTGAATTATTACCCTCTTATTCAAGTTTGTCTACATGTAAATTCCATTTAAGTCTATTACACCCTTGATCGTGGACTGTATTATAAAGTGCTACCAATATTTTGATATATGGACAAATGTTCATTTTTAGAAGGTGTAACGTAGACTCTGATTTTTGTTGTTTACTGCCTGATAATAAATAGATATCCCTTATTAAATTAGTTGTATTTCTTCCTCACTTATATATTAGTTTACAACCATCAAACTTAGAATTAAAGTTGCTTTTTGTTTGGCTCCAGTTGTCCATTGACGTCTCCATTCTCTTCACTTAAATCATGCACATCTTTGGTGCACTTGATTCTCAGCAGGACATTGGACAGCACGTCCTGATAGAGACTCAAGCAGATCCACCCGGGCAGGTAGAGCAGGGTGATAAGTCCCATGAAGTTGTGAGGATAGTGGGAGTAATCCCACGAGCAAGCGTTAAACTGCCTCAGGACCAGACCCCACGAGAATTCCCACGTGTAGATGAAGCAGATGTAGATGGGGAGTCGTCGCCAGGACCCCCAGCCCAGGCTGAAGTGCAGGTAAAGGTAGAGCTTCTCCACCACGAAGCTGCAGCTTCCGTACATCAGGAAAGACCACAGGGACGTGTGACCGCTGAGGGTCCTGTCAGACTTCTCCACCAGGTTGAACAGAGAGGTGAAAAGGACCTCGTCCAGAAAGCCGTGCATCCCGAAGAATAAGAAGCGCGCAAAGCCGGGAAGACCGTGCGGGGGTCTGCCTTCCAGCTGGAGGTCAGCGGAGAATGATGGGCGATACTGTAGATGTGACAGCTCTCTGTGAAACACCTGAGAGAAGTAGAGAGCCAGGATGTAATGCACTACCAGCTGAGTCCCAGAAACCACCCTCACTTGCTCGGCCAAAGTGTTAATGTTCCCGATCAGAATCTGCAGCCCGATGTAGATGGACGGGTAGAAAACAAGATGAAACACCACAGGCCGACCTAGGAAGCACCTCTTCTGTGAGTAGATCTTTTCCAGCGCAAAATGGGTCAGCGAATGCATGATGCAAAGATACGGAGAGGAAAAGCCCATCAGCTTAGGGTCCCGTGAGTGCAAAAGCCCCTGTAAGGATGACAGCAGGACATCCAGAGTCACGCCGTGCATCCCGTAGAAGTAAAGCCGCATCCATCGCGGCAGTCCTCGCGGCGGCTCCGTCGCGTCCCCGGTGTCTGAGCCCGGTTCTTGCTGCTGGCGGAGCTTTCGTGCCGGTTTGAGGCCACCGTCCTGCTCTCCCGAACACACGCGAGCACCGTCGCGCCACCGACCGGCCATGATCACTCTGTGCGGAGAGCTCCAGCTGTCCCCTTCCTGTGCATTGTTTTCTTTTATGTTGTGCTGCAGACGCGCAGTGAGCGAGCTGCGACTAAAAGCATCTCCTGCAAGAGTACGGGATGCTGCGTTCACGTGCTCCCCAGAAGAAACAGTTTTCTGAGTACACTTTGACAGGGTTTTAGTTTTCCTACGTACCATAAATGTGCTGTTTACGCTTACTTTTTCTCATCAAGACGCCCTTTCCGCGGGCTGTACTTGAGGTTTAACTAATTTGTTTAGCGGATTTCCTTCCCGATAAGGCATTTGCAAATTCAACTTTGAAACTGAATTGTTTATACATGTTAATTACCCGCCAGTCTTCTCCTTTCCTTTGTGGGCACAGTGATATTTTTCAGCATAGTACATAAACGACAGCTGAATTACAGACCAGAATGAAGCCAGTGGTGGGATGTATGTCCTCGATGTGTGTTCTTTCTGTTGTTACAGCACGAATAAAACATGTACCCACTTATGAAAATATGTCACAGTAGGCCTACATTTTAAAAGGAATGCATTGGTTGCTTTAATTTACAAACTGTTTAAAAGAGATGTGAAAAAATGTACAGGTGTACATTCACATTCACTACAATGCAACACTGAAAATGTCATGAAGAACCCACATTTTCCAATATTTTGCAAGGAAAATAGGAAACGATTCCAGACATTTATTAAAACAGGTACAAACATACATAGAAATACAGTCTATAAGGCAAAAAACAAATAAATTAAAAAAACCCGAACAAAACAAAAGCGGATTTTGTACAATTCTAATGAGCTTTAAAGTCACCATGACCACGTTTATTCTTCAACATACCCTGAACTCTCATAGGCAAGGTTCCTTGTAATTTAAGATGCCCCCATTTGTTATGTTTAGGCCTCCCACTTCTTATTTTTGTTTTCCACTTGTTTCAGTTTCCTCATTTTTTTAAAGGCCAAAATACAAACAATGCCAAGAAATCAGAATCAGAATACTTTATTGATCCCTAGGGGAAATTATTTTTTGTTACAGTGCTCCATTATAAACAAACATTAACAAAGACAGACAATACCCTAACTAAGAATAACACAATATATACAGGCATATATATACATAAAAGTCACTTATTAATAAATAGCTGAAAAAGAACATGTGCAAGAAAAAAAACATGTGCAAGAAATGGCAGATTTGCAGCTTCTTGTTGGTTCAAAAATACTAATTTACGTCTGTAAAATGTGTCACTTTTCAAGGTTTATCTAAAAAAATGTAATAAATTACATGTTTCTGTGACAGACAGCTAAGTCCTTTATGTCTAGATAAAACACTGTCTCATCGCTTGACTTTGTTGCTTAATAGCTGATCAATTCACACATCAGTGTTTAGTGCCTTATAAAAGAAGTGTCCAGACACAAACTTTGAAAGACCATTAGGCCATGGGTAGGAAACGTTAGTCTTCGAGAGCCGGTGTCCTGCAGGTTTTAGATCTCACCCTGGGTCACCACACCTGAATCAAATGATTAGTTCATTACCAGGCCTCTGGAGAACTTCAAGACATGTTGAGGAGCTAATTTAGCCATTTAAATCAGCTGTGTTGGATCAAGGACACATCTAAAACCTGCAGAACACCGGCTCTCGAGGCCTGGAGTTCCCTACCCCTGCCATTAGACTGTTGCTCAAGATCACTTTTAGAGAAATGAGGGGTGATCCAAGACTTTTGCACAACACTCCATTTGAACAATAATAGAATAAAATATGAAACCAACTGTATGCAACAAAAACGCTACAACCCACAGTCATGCTAGAAATTATAAATATGATGATCACGCAGTTTGATGCGCAGCCACTGATGTCAGTGAAGAAACACAGTGCTGATTTTGCACATTTCCAATAGCAGCTGAACGCAACACGAGCTGATAGAGAAGGCAGCATGGCTGCAGACGTGGTTAGTAATTGAGCTCACGTCCCCCTGCGACGTCCTGACGCTGTATAATTACGACTCATTAATGATAATTACAGCCGATTACTCTGCTGTTATGCTAGGCTAACTAAACTCATTTGTAAAAGCCACACAGTAAAGCCGTGTATTGAGGGATTGAGGGATAACCTTAATCCTAAATCACGTGTTCAAATTTGTTTTATGTATTTATTTATTCTTACATTAGAGTAAGAAAACAAAACAAAAATGCAGTCATTAGATTCAGTCTGCATGCAGACTAACCATGATGTTTCTCTACTTCCTCTTGAGGTTTCCTTCACTGTTACTGCTGCACTGTCGTGATCTTTAATCGACAAAAAGATGGGTTAAAAACGTCTTTCTCAGTCGTTCAGAGGAATAGATTAAATCGAATTATCACCCACTACTCCAGCAACAGTTAGACTCACGACATAGCAAACGTGATAGTGACCACAATGATTTTATAACTGAACTTAGTAGAAATATGAGCAATAGGCTACGTGATAACCAGTAGACACAAAAATATACGCTCTCAGCCTGCACTATGCTGTCGAAATGCCCACAGCCTTTGCAAGAGCTTCGCGCACAGTGAGAAAGCATTTTAGGCTTTCAACTTTTCGATCAGGAAGTGAAACTTGAGTTTATGAGTCGCATTTAACCACGCTGTACAGGCCAGACGCAGACTGCACTAATCCTACATGTAGCCAGCACCCACGACTGGTCTATATGCTGGCCAACATTACATTTGATGACATTTTTTTAATGCAGGAAAAGATCCTTGGGTGATTTAAAAATGGTGTGATCACATAGTGTGTCCAGCAGAGAGGCTTCAATTCTCAGAGACTTGTATAAAATGTTAGCGAGACAACTTTAAATCGCAATCCCTTGCAAAGCCTTCAGTGTTGTACAATGCATTATTTTGGTCTTATGGTCATATACAATGCAATAATGTGCTCGGTGTCCCTGTATGACCACACGGGGGCACTGCTGAGCATGTTACTGTGGAGCTCATGTTCACTAAAGAGAACTGAGTGCATTTTCATCGCAGGCTTTGATGTGAATCCAGGCGGTGTGGGTGACACGGTGCAACAATTGTTGACGCAACTACAAAAAGTCTCTCGTGAAAGATGCCGCGGCTCGCTTATCTCTTCTCGAGATGTGTGTTTTCATTTGAGCCCTGACTGTTTCTGCCTGGGTTGCTTTACTCAGAGGACGTCTGTGTGTGTTTGTGTGTGTGTGCGCCTGCTGAGACAGAATGAATATGCCACTGTTTATATTCCACCTATTTCAGCAGTCATGGTTTCACAGACAGAAAATGAAAAAAAAAAAAAAGATTCAGCGCAAGTTGTTTGTGCTGAGTGATTTCTGGGAGTGTCGGCATGCATCTGTAGGTTGCACTTCTGGGAAAGAAGTGTATCTGTTTATGCATGTGTGTGTGTGTGTATTTGTGCGCACGCACCCGCACAGGAAATAGAGATATCAGTGGTCTTTTTGGGGCACGGAGATAACGGCGCTCCTCTGCTGGCTTAGTATTATCTCAGTCACAGAATAGTGACAGCAGATTTAGAGGCGAGAAAGCAGAACACATTTCAAATAGTCTGGGTCAAATATATATGCCAGCAGAGCGATATCACTCCCTCTATTACATACCTCACTCCATTACCTCTTCTTTAACAGTAACACACCCTCCTAACTTTATGTGTAGAATGGGAGCCGCCAGCTTTCAGACCATTCTTCTATGGAGCTAGCTCTCAGTTTGGATTCAGGAGATAGACACCCTCTCTACTTTTAAGATTAGGCTTAAATCTTTCCTTTTTAATAAAGCATACAGTCAGGGCTGGATCAGGTGACTTCAAACCCTCCTTAGTTATGCTGCAATAGGTCTAGGCTGCTGGACCTATTGCAGCCTAGACCTGCAATAGGTCTAGGCTGCAGTGGAATGATGCTCTTGGTTTTTCGTCTACACTCACCTTTTTTTCCATTCACTATTTGCTTACACAACACTCTGCATTTAATCATTAGTTATTAGTATTAACCTCCTAAGACCCGAACTCTTCCACGGTATGCATTTTTAATTTCTCTTTGATATTTGGGCATATTGGGGCCCAAGAACGTCAAAACAAAGAATTACCAGATTTTTTTTTTACCTTATTTTTGTTTTTAAGAAAAATAAGAGCCACATATGAGGATATTCGTTTAAATATTTGATATAACAGTAGCAGTATAATGTCCTCGTAAGTGGATATCAGGCCCTTGTAAAGCAAAATTGAGTATTTTGGTCTAAATAACCCAAAATGTGATGTCCACATATGTGGATGCCAGGTCCTAGGAGGTTCACCGCTTGTGCTCCTTCTGGTGCTTGATACTTCTCGAGCTTCTCTTGTTCCTTCTTTCACGTTGCTATCACTTGCTATAGCTACATCTATCACTATACGGCCGTCTTCCACATAGCAAAATTGGTATGGCCTGGATCTGGCCCACACAATGTGCTTACAGATGGCCCGCATACCGCAAAGAATGACGGCCCTTTGGTGGCCCAGATCTGATGATGTGGCCCACACATGGGCCAGCACAAGGCCAGTTGCAGACACACTGCTGGCCCTGTGCTGGCCCAGAACAGTTTCAGCTCTGGCCCAGAACAGTTTCAGCTCTGGCCCCAGATGTCAGCCTAATGTGTACCTTAATCAAGCCATGTAATAACAACATGCGATGGAACATGATAGTGCAAAAGTAACATGATGAAACTCTGTTTAGACACTGAATGGACTGATTCTCATATAGCACTTTTCTACTCTCCCGGATTACTCAGAGTGCTCTATACAACATGCCACATTTATACACTTTCTCTAAATTGAGCGCTTCTTAACTACAGCCACACACATTCTTACTCTTGACATGTAGACTGGAGGAGCCATGGATCGAACCACTAACCTGATTAGTAGGTGCCCTGCTCTACCTCCTGAGCTACAGCCATCCACCGGCAAAGGTGAGTAAACCGTCACTAGGTTTTGGATAAAGTGCACACTCACAAACCTGTCAAACCTGCATTTGAAAGGTTGGCTACCATAGCAGTATAGTATTGCAACATGGCATTTGGATCTTCTAACTAAAATAGGAAAAT